CGCAACCGAGCTTCGCCTTTCTGGTCCACCGTAACTTTGGTAGGCGAAACCTCACCGAATACAATCCCAGGCGAACAACCGAAGTGCAAGTACTTTAGTGCCCTTGCAACCCCAACTGCGACCCTTATCCTCTGTGGCCAGTTCAAACACCTGATCGCCTCACTCAAATCCTTCCCCTTAACATACTCGTAAACCAAAAACGCTCTTTTTCCCGACCGGCACATGGCCAACATCTTCACGACATTCGGGTGACTAATCTTGCGCATTAACTCGATCCAATCCGACCAATAATGAGCTGATGAAATCGAAGCCATCTCTTTCGCCAAGAAGATCTTGTTACCCAAAACCGACTTTCCTTTGTAGGAAAAGCCCGTTTTCCCGCTCGCCACGAGATTCTTCTCTTCCTCGACACACGACAAAATGTCCTTTATCGTCAACATTTTCGCAATTCCTGAATTCGCGAACCAAAATTGCCACGTCCCGTCTTGGCTTTCTACCCTTTTTGATTCCTTTCGCCCGCACAATTTATTCCCTTTCCTCATTACGAAAATCACGACGAACGCGAATATCGTTAACGACGCAAGAAGAAAGGTTATTACAAACCAATGGGTTCGGGTTCGGTTCTTGGCCCCACTGCACGGGGGCAAATTGGTAATTTTTTTGCCACCGCACAAATGATTCCCGGCAATAGCAGAGGAGCTAATTGTCAGAAATGCCCCTGCTGGGGGCAAGCTTCCCTGCAGGTGGTTGTGTGAAATATTGATTTGGACGAGTGACTGTATACTTCCCAAGTTCACCGGGATTTTTCCGGTCAGCTCGTTTTCGGACAAATCGAGCTGCCCGAGAACGGGCAGATCGGCCAGGCTGGCAGGAATTTCTCCGAAAAAACGGTTACGGCTCAGGTCTAAAGTCACGAGCTTCTTGCAATATGACAACTTGTGAGGAATTTGGCCCGATAATTGGTTCCCGTTCAATTTAAGATTCGTCAGCTCTGAAAATTCACCAAATTTTTCCGGGATTCTGCCCGAGAAATTATTCCCCGATAAATCCAAACTCTCGAGCTTTGTGCTGCCGAACGAGCCTGGCAACGGTCCAAAAAGCTCGTTTTCAGCAAGGCTCAGCATCTGAAGCCTTGGCATTTCCCATTTCCTGTTACTGACCTGGCCCGAAATTCGATTGCCCGACAGATCAAGATAGTAAACATTTGGCAGCTTCGTAAATTCGAGTGGGATTTCGCCGGTTAGCCGGTTTTGCTGGATTCGGACTCGTTGGAGACTCTTGCAAAAGCTTAAGCTCGCCGGAATTTCGCCGTCCAAACTATTTGAAAACAGGATGAGCTTAACTAAGTTTCGTGACCCGCATATATTCTGCGGAATTCTTCCGGTGAGATTATTGGTCGAGAGGTCTAAAACAGTTAGATTGTTGCGTTTTCCGAGTTCTCGAGGTATTTCGCCTGACAAACTGTTGGACCAGAGCTGAAGGACTCTGAGATTAGGCAATGAAGACAGAGCAGAAGGGATTTTTCCTGAGAAGTTATTTGAGAACAACTGGAGAATCTCTAAATTCTGGAGGTTTATCAATAATTCCGGGATTTCGCCATAAAAATAATTATCACTCAGATCAAGTGACACTAATTTGTTGAGATTAAATACAGAATTTGGTATTTTCCCACTGAGTTTATTGAAGTACAGAAACAGGTTCTCAAGACTGGTGAGGTTGCCTAAAGATGAAGGGATTTCACCAGTGAGATTATTATAAACAAGATCAAGATGATTGAGAGAGGACAGTTCACCAATTTCCACCGGAATTCGGCCCGAAAAATTGTTATAGCCCAAATAAATCCATTTCAATCCCTTCAACTGACCCAGTTCCCCTGGAATCTCACCTGTCAACTGGTTTGAAGCCAAGGTGAAAACTTCCAGCTCGGTCAAGTTCGCGACCGAGCCCGGAATTCCACCGGACAATGCGTTCCCTCCAAAATCAAGAAACCTGAGGCCCGAAAAAACCCCGATGTCTTGTGGAATTCGACCCGAGAGCATGTTGTTTGATAAATCAAGCGTACGAAGAGAGGGAAGGTGATGAAGGCCGCTCGGGATGGGCCCGGTTAGGTTGTTACCGCTCAGGTTGAGGTAGTTGAGATTAAAGCAAGACAAAAAAGTTGTTGGGATTCGGCCCGAAAACTGGTTGCTTGATAAATCGACGGACTGGACGAAAGGTAGTCGGAAAATGGATTCAGGGATATCGCCGGATAAGTTTTTTCCGGCGAGTTGGATTTCGGAAACGCGGGAAGATTGTGAACATGTGACTCCATCCCATTTGCAGTGCGAATGGGATGAGTTCCAGTTTGCGAGTTGATGATCGTTTAATGAAGAAGACTTTAATGGTAAAAGCAGCTCAAGATCATCATCAATCCCTTTGCATGTGGACGCTAATAAGTTGATGAAGATGAGGAAGATTAACATAATCGTCTCCATTGATTTCGAAAAGAAAAAAAGAAAAAAATAATGGTGTTGAGGCAGAAGCTAGTTTAGAAAGGAAGAGAATATTAGTAGGACGTCAAGGCTATAAACTTGTGAAGGATATATGCATATAAATAGATGAAGGATAAAAAATATTGGGAGATTCTACCTTACCGAACCATTCCGTTGAAGTTTGTAACCGTTAGATCATCATGTAACCGTCGGAGATAGTTGATGTAACGGTTACAAACCTTGACGAAATGGTTCCGTAACGGGAACGTAACATTTCCCAAAAATATTAATTATTTCGAAGCTTTGAGTTTGTATATTTATTTATTTGTTTTATTTATTTATTTTTCCTTAAGGATTGTGAGAACACACGAATGTTATAAAGGGGAATGGAAAAAGAAAAGGGCAAGGGACAGATGTTGGGGAAAAGGGCATGAGGTTTTGTGGGATATTACCAAAATGCACTTTTGACTGAGTGACAAGGAAAATGTGTAACCGTTGAGACTCAAAAGTTGGTGAGCCCATGCTGCTCTCGCCTTCCCCTCTTTGGAACTATTTACATCATCACTGCAAATATGGTGTGAATTAACTTTTTCCTCCATTTCTTAGCTGTTAAAAAGAATAAATCTAATAGCCAAACAAATTAAATTTGAAATCTTGGGGAAGTGATGGAGACGAGACCGCCATCGCGTATTTGAATAAATATGAATTTAGTTTATTTGTTTCTTTTTATTCTTCCTTTTTTTGTTATGTTATTTCCTTAGCTATTATATATGAATTGGTAGGAAAAATAAATATCTTGTAGTTGTCTAGCAAGAGAGGTTTCTGGCATATTTTATCTGTTGTAAACAAATAATTAAGGGGGATAGGAAAATATTGAATTTTATCTAACTTTTACGTTCTTTACGGGAGAGAATCTCGTTCTTCCCATTCGTCTACCACGCACTGTATCAGTTGGTATCCAGAAACCAGCAACGATCACGATGCCGCCGAAAAGAAGAGATGTTTCAAACGAATAGCAGGACGCCACCACAGATGACCGATTGCAGCGGATGGACAATCAATTTGATCAGATGGGAAACCGATTTACGGATCTCTCGTCGGGATTGAAGAGTTGCGTCGTGTATCATGATGGAGGGAGTGAACACGAACCGTGACGTCGGCGACCGGGGCGTGCGCGGGGGAATTCGCAGAGGTCGTGGTCACGGTGGGGCACCCCACCGAAGATCTCCACCACCGATGTACGACGATGACAGCGAGGATACGATTTTCGAAGTCAATCCGGCGATGTAGAGACTCCGCACGTCGATGAGGTACCATTCGCCACTTATGGCGGCCAAGATGGGCGACAATCGGGTTTTACAGGCGGCGATTTCTTCCGTCGCGATGGTGGTTACGTTCGCAGAGGGCAGGCCTTCCTAGGCGAACGTCAACACTGAGGTTGGGAGCATGAACGTAACGATTCGACATTCGCTGGATATGGCTAGTCGCGATTGCGGGACTTTAACCATCACGTTGTGGGCTTTGAGGAGGACCTACAATGTCGTGGAAGACTATACCACCATGGTGATGTCCCAGGTTTTGTCTATCAGCGACGTGACATGAGACATCCTGGGTAAGGTGGCGACTAGCCAAAGTGGGAGTTAGGGTTTCGGGTAGAAGTACCTGAGTTTTCGGGAGGGCTTGATGCGGCAGAATTCCTCAATTGGTGGGTTGTCGTCGAGTCCGTGCTTGATTACAAAGATATTCCAGATGAGAGTCAAGTCTCATCACGACATGGTTTCGGGGACGAGCAACCGCTTAGTGGATGCAACTCAAGAACATGCATCATCAAGGCAAGTCATAAATCTCGTCATGGTCGAAATTCTGTAAGAACTTAGAAGGTCGTTTAATTATACTCGATCCATTTATCAGCAATTTCAAAACTTACGTCAAGGGACTCGGTCAGTTGATGATTATACTGATGAGTTTTTCACCTCTTGACATGGGTTGATATTGGGGAGATGATAAACCAGTTAGTGTCGAGATACATTTGTGGTTTGCGTACGACTATTCAAGATACCATTAATTTATTCACCCCAGATTCGGTGTCAGATGCCCATCAACGGGTTGTTCTTGTGGAGCAACAATTGGCTCGTAAAGTGGGACCGTCCTTTTCGCCGGCATCACAGTCATGCCCTACTGTGTGTGGCATTTTGCAACTCGATCGCGGTGCGCTGTCTGCAGGTGGTGGCGTGGGTCGGTACAAGTTTCCAGTCGGGTACCTTCGGTAAGCGGAGGATTGCCATGGACCGTTGTTGTCGGCAGACAGTTGCAGCGGCTGGAGTTCAGCAGACAAGGGCCGGAATCCGCTGCTTTGGGTGTGGTGAGATAGGACATCGTCAAGCGACTTGTCCACGTGGTTTGGGTTCGCTCACGTTGTTTGCAGAGGAGACACAAGAGTATCATGCAACCAAGAAGTATGATGGACTATCAATGTTTAATGTGGAACTAGACGAGGTTGAGGAGAACCTTATGGACGACATGGGTACAACTCTTGTTATTCACCGAGCTTGTTGTCACCGCGGAGTATGGTTGATGAGTCGGTTGAAAGGCATCATATTTTTCAGTCGACATGCACGGTGGGTGACAAAGGTTGCCGGTTTATTATTGACTCGCGTTCGTGTGAGAATGTTGTCGCTCAAGAGGCCGTGGACAAACTTCGACTATCGAGCGAGCCCCATCCGCAACATATACTCTAGCGTGGACCCAACGGGGGAACGCGATCACTGTCGACCGCCGCGCCTTAGTTTCTTTCTCGATTGAAGTGAAGTATCTTGACCAGGTGTGGTGCGATGTGGTTCTCATGGTTGCGTGCAATTTATTTTTGGGTCGCCCGTGGAATTTTGATCGAGCAGCCACGCACGATGGCCGCTTTAACACCTAGAGCTTCCTATTTGGAGGTGCTAAGATTGTATTGCATCCCACTCCACCACGCTTTTTACCGACTACGAGTTCTTCGATGTCCGTTCTTATTCTCTCTCGCTTGGATTTTATAACGGAGATGCCCAACTCTTTGATGGTTCTGTTAATTGTGGGGATGAACACGGTGGGCGAGCGCGGGCCACCCGAAGCTATCCGTCCTTTATTGTCCGAGTTTGCTGACGTGTTCCCGGTAGAGACTCCCTTGGGGTTACCACCCCTTCGCGACATCAAACATCACATTTATTTGGTGTCAGGAGTTTAACAGTCAAATAGACCTCACTATCGAATGAGTCCCACTGAACATAGAAAATTGAGAAGACAAGTCGATGAACTTCTCCAACGTGGGGTGGTACGTAGGAGTTTGAGCCCATGTGCAGTTCCAACCGTTCTGATCCCGAAAAAGGACAACTTGTGGCGCATGTGCGTCGACAGTCGCACGATCTACATGATCACGATCAGGTACCGCTTCCCTATTTCCTCGGTTGGATGACTTGTTGGATCAACTTCACGGTGCTATTGTCTTCACCAATTGGATCTCCGTAGAGGTTACTATCAGATTCGAATTCGACCTGGTGACGAGTGGGATACAACATTCAAAATTCGTGAAGGGCTTTTCGAGTGGATAGTTATGCCATTCGGATTGTCCAATGCGCCGAGTATGTTTATGAGGGTGATGAACTAGGCACTTCAGATTTTATCGGTAAGTGTGCCATTGTTTATTTCGATGATATCCTTATCTACAGTCGTATGATGATGAGCACTTACAGCATGTTGGGGAGGTACTACTTGTATTATGTGCATAGTCTTTTTTTGCGGCCCTACGTAAGTACTTCTTCTTGGTGGATTCAGCTTTGTTTTTGGGTGTTGTGATCTCCTCTGAGGGAATCCGTGTGAACGAGAGCAAGGTGGCTATGATCCGCGATTGGTCGCCTCCGACTTTTTTCACTGATGCTCGTAATTTTCACGGCCTTGCCTCGTTCTACCGCCATTTTATTTCACATTTTCAGTACTATTACAGCTTCGATCACAAGTTACCTCACCGGCAAGTCTTTTGTTTGGTCTCCGGAGGCTGAGGATGCTTTTGCTCTGATTAAGAAAAAGTTGACTTCTACACTTGTGCTCGTTTTGTCAGATTTTTCACGACTATTCGAGTTGTCGTGTGATGCCCGAAGGTGGGGATTGGCACTGTTCTCAATTAGGGCTATCGATCGGTCTTTTTTTTAGCGAGAAACTGTCTGGGCTTTGGGCACGATTCAATACGTACGATATTGAGTTCTACGTTGTGGTTTGTGCGGTTCGTCATTGACATCATTACTTTTTGTCACTAAAATCCTGAACGCTTGAATTTCTCCGGAGTGCACTTCGACATCAAGTTAAAATAAGTGATTAGGGAACAATCATAATGTATTAATGTCTATTTGTCATACACTCATCTTACCGTTTGTCAATAAAATCCTCGCCTTTATGTAGGTGGGTGGTATTGGATCATGCAACACATTTCAATCTTGGTCGTCCAGCCACTAGCTTCTGTGAGTGCTCAGCCATGAAGTCGACCTATCGGTCGACCATCCTTATATTGGCCATGCATCGACCCATGATGAGGGTAAGGTAGCTCGAGATGCCGTCTTTAATCGAGTAGTTAACCTGGGTTGAGCGGTTACCACACCTCGACTTGGTCTAGTAATACCTCTCAGCTGGGTCGACTAACCCTTTATGAGATTATATGTCGTACCAACTACTCCACTCTATTTATGAGGGTATGGATCATGCGAGCATAAATATTCATGTTCTAAATGCGGTATTAAATGCTTCTCGCCCCCCTCCCCCCTCCCTCCCTTTTTGTATTTCATTCAATTGAATTCTTGACAAGATGCTGGTACTCAAGTGTTATGTGTCTTTATGCACATTGAGGTGTGGTTTTGCATCCAGAGGTAAGGCCTAGACCAAAGACCTCGCGACCTTTACTTTTATCTAACGGTCTACATGTATCCACCTATTGGTTGGCTGGGTGTGTCTATGTCTATTATAAATAGCATATTTCT